AAATCCCTCTTTCCAGGAGAATACCAAAATGGTGGTTATTTGGTGGTTATTTTTTTAAGAGAGAGGAGATAGAAAAGCTAAAACCCTTTGTGGAAATGGAGCGGGCGATGAGATTTGAACCCACGACCTCAACCTTGGCAAGGTTGCGCTCTACCCCTGAGCTACGCCCGCATGCTTTAAAGATAGGGTGATCATACTCATCCCTCTTTTTTTTGCAAGATAATAAAAAATTATTTTTTCCCTTCAAAGAATATACGTACTTCCAATAAAAAGAAGCAAACTTTAAAAGATTTTTTCATACCCATCCATGAAAAAAGTTAATATCTTCTGATTGTCAAATACTAGACAAGAAAAAACGAGCCATTTCCAAGACAAAAAAACAAATTAACTTATTGAAAATAAATAATTTTAATCAAATTTTTACAAAAAATTGCCGAAATAAAAACAACTTAAGAAAAAACATCAAGAAACAAGGTCAATATAAAAGAATTTTTGAATACGAATAAAGTACAAACTTTTATTTTTAACAACTATATTACTGTGAATAGAAATGCTCGAATAATATTCTTATTTCTAACAGTATCACTCCAAAACTTTTTAATCATTTAACACTTTGTTCAGTAAGGCTGTTCTACTGTTCTCGATCCCATCGCTGATGGACCCACAACCATTGCTCTGGGGATTCCAAAATCCATGCCTCTAACATCTGGTTCATTTTTTGAAGAACTGCTTCTACAGGTTCCTTTTCTTTTATCCAAAAAGGTTCATAAAAAATAATTTTATGGGCGCACTTCCTTGTACGAATCGCTTGGACGGGTACTAAAGGACAGTTAAATTTCTGGGCCAATTTAACAATTGCAGGTGCTGTCATCGCAGGACGCCCAAAAAAAGGAACAGACAAACCCTCTTTTAACTTTTGATCTACCAAAAAAATAAGATTCTTCTTTTCTTTCAACAAAGAAATTGAGTCTCTTGCACCGCGAGCACCTTTATAAATTGTCGTGATCCCTGCACGTTTTTGGTACAAATCTATTAATTGGTCCACACGGCGATTATTAAAAGGGCGATATAGTTGAACAACAGGAACACCTTTTTTAGCGGCAACCAAAGCTGGCAATGCCCAATTTCCAATGTGGCCTGAAAAAAAGAGCGCTGGTTGAGGGAGATCTTT